AAAAAAAAAAAAAAGAAAAAAAGTTTTGAGGGAATCCGTTGCTAGTAGATGTGATTTGCAAGATATATTAAGTTCTTTAGAAAGAAGAAAAATAATATAGGTGAGAAACTCAGATTCAACATAAAGGAAGAGTACTGAAGAAGGAATAAATAAAAGCAAAATAAAAACATTTGCCTTATTCTAATTGATCTAACAGATAATAGTCTATTCAAAATAATAATACCAGGAATGTACACTTATGTATACTTGTTACGTATATGTTCAGTTCAGTTGCTTAGTCATGTCCGACTCTTTGTGACCCCATTGACTGCAGCACACCAGGCTCCTCTGTCCATCACCACCTCCCAGAGCTTCCTCAAACTCATGTCCATCAAGTTGGTGATGCCATCCAACCATCTCATCCTCTGTCATCCCCTTTTCCTCCCACCTTCAATCTTTCCCAGCATCAGGGTCTTTTCAAATGAGTCAGTTCTTTGCATCAGGTGGCCAAAGTATTTGAGTTTCAGCTTCAGCATCAGTCCTTCCAATGAATATTCAGGACTGACTTCCTTTAGGATGGACTGGTTGGATCTTCTTGCAATCCAAGGGGCTCTTAAGAGTCTTCTCCAACACCACAACTCAAAAGCATCAATTCTTTGGCACTTAGATTTCTTTATAGTCCAACTCTCACATCTGTACATGACTGCTGGAAAAACCACAGCTTTGACCAGATGGACCTTTGTTGGCAAAGTAATGTCTCTGCTTTTTAATATGCTGTCTAGGTTGGTCATAGCTTTTCTTCCAAGGAGCAAGTGTCTTTTAATTTCATGTTTAAAGTCACCATCTGCAGTGATTTTGGAGCCCAAGAAAATAAAGTCTCTCATTGTTTCCATTGTTTCCCCATTTATTTGCCATGTATATGTTACGCTGATATATGTTTTACATATGTATAAACTTATATTATGCATATATTATGGATGCTTATGTATATATATTTTGTATATATGTGCTATTTATGCTTTATATATGAGTGAAATGAATAACAGCAATGATATAAGGAACTAGATTAGATAATTAGGATTGTTTTATTGTTGTAATATACTCACACAACCTGTTAAGTGGAATAGTGTTACTTCAAAGTGGACTTGGATTCGTTGTAAACATATACTGGAAATCCTAGGGCAACCACTAAAAAGGTTAAAAAAAAAAAGAAGTATAACTGATGTGCCAAGTAAGGAAAGAAAATGGAATCATAAAAAATGCTCAATTAAACCACAAAAGGCAGTAAGAAAGTGGAAGACAAAAATAGCAACAAAGAACAAGGACAACAAATGTTAACAGAAAACACAGTAATGAATGCAGTACACATTAATCCAGCTAAATCAATAATCACTTTGAATGTCAATGGTGTAAATGGATCAATTAAAAGATGCAAATTGCCAGAACTGATCAAAAATCAGCTCACAACTATGTTATCTGCAAGAAATCCACTTTAGAATAAAGGCACAAATAGATAAAAGTAAACAGAGAAAAATATATTGTGTTAACATTAATCAAAAGAAAGCGGGAGAGCTATATTAAATTCAGAGAGTAGACTTCAAAGTAAGGGAAGTTATCAGGGATAAAGACGGCCAGGACATGATGATAAAGGGGTCAATTATTCAAGAAGACATAACAATTCTTAATGTGCATGCACCTAACAACAGGGCATTTAAAGTATGTGAGGCAAAAACTGATAGCCCTGAAAGGAGAAACAGATGAATCCACCATCACAGGCGGAGTCTTCAGTACCCCTCTGTCTGACACAGACAAATCCAGCAGGCAAAAAATCAGTAAGGACACAGATGAACTCAACAACACCATTAATAAACTTGATATAAATGACATCTACAAATTACTTCGTCCAGCAAGAGCAGAAAACACATTTTCCTGATATGGAACACTCATCAAGACAGATTACATTCTGGGCCATAAAATACATATTAACAAATTTAAAGAAAAGAAATCATACAATGTCTGCTTTTAGACCACAGTAGAATTAAACCAGAAATCAGTAACAGAAAGGTATTAACAACAAGAAAATCTTCAAGTATGTGGAGATTAAACAACACATGTCCAAGTGACATGTGAGTCAAAGAAGACATCTCAAAACAAGTTTTAAAATATTTTTAACTAAATGAACATGTAAATTATCAAAATCTGCAGGATGCAGCAAAACCAGTGCTTAGAGGGAAACTTATAGCATTGGATGAAAGATCTAAAATCAATAATCGAAGTTTCTATCTTAGGATACTAGAAAAAGAAGAGCAAATTAAATCCAAAGTAAGCAGAAAACTAGAGCAGAAATCAATAAAATTGAAAACAGGAAATCAATACAGAAAAAATGAAAACAAAGCTGGTTCTTTGAAGAGATCAATTGGTGTGATAAGTCTCTAGCTGGCCTAACTAAGGAAAAAGAAATGATGCTAATTATTAATATCAGAGATTAAAGAGGGAAAATAACCACAGATTTTTTGGAAATTAAAAGAATAAGCAAGAAATACAATAAACAACTCAACTGCCATAAATTTGATAACTTAGATGAAATGGACCAATTCCTTGAGAGGGAAAACTATTCATAGATGACACAACCATCTACGTAGAAAACCTGAAGAGATTAACCAAAAAATTCTTAGGACTAGTAAATGATCATAGCAAGGTTGCACAATATGAGATTAACATACAAAATTCAATTGTTTTCTTACATACCAACAATGAACAAGTGGAATTTGAAGTTAATAACAGTATCATTTACATTAGCACCAAGAAAGCAAAATACTTAGGCATATAAATCTAACAAAATGTACATATAAGATCTATATGTACGGAAAACCACAAAACTCTGATGAATGAAGTCAAAGAAGGACAAAATAAATGGAGAAATATTCCACACTCATGGTTAGAAAGCCTCAATATTGTCAGCTCTTCCCAATTTTATCTATAGATTCAATGTGTGCACGCACGCTAAGTCACTTCAGTTGTGTCTGACTCTCTGCAACCCTATGGGTCATGGCCCACCCGGCTCCTCTGTCCTTGGGATTCTCCAGGCAAGAGTACTGGAGCGCCCTCTCACAGGGGATCTTCTCGCCCAGGGTATGGAACCCACGCTTCTTACATCTGCTGCATTGGCAGGTGGGTTCTTTACCACTAGCACCACCTGGGAAGCAATGCAATCCCAATCAAAATCCTGGCAAGTTATTTTGTGATTATCAACAAAATGATTCTAACGTTTATATGGAGAGGGAAAAGACTCAGACTATCCAACACAATAACTGGAGGAGAATAAAGCTGGAAGACTGACACTATTCTACTTTGAGACCTACTATAAAGCTATGGTAATCAAGACAGTGTGGTGCTACTGGCAAAAGAATAGACAAATACATTAATAGAACATAACAGAGAATCCAGAAACAGAACCATATAAATACAATCAACTGATCATTGGCAAAGAAGCAAAGACAATACAATGGAGCAAAAGTTACCTCTTCAATAGATAGTGCTGGAGCAACTAGACACTCACATGAAAAATAAAGAGCCAGACACAGAGACCACATATGCTTCACAGAAATTGACTCAAAATGGATCACAGATGTAAATGTTAAACTCAAAACTACAGAACTACAAGTTAATATTAACACAGAAGGAAACCTACACAACCTTGGGTATGGTGAAGCCTTTTTAGATACAATAACAAAGACATGATCTTGAAAGAAATAATTGATAAGCTGGACTTGATAAAAATTAAAAACTTCTGCTCCGTGAAAGCCAAAATTGAGAGAATTAGATGATAGCCACAGACTGGGAAAATATATTTACAAAAGACAAATCTGATAAAGGACTGCTATTCAAAATACACAAAGAGTCATTAAAATGCAACAATAAGAAAACAAACAGCCCAATCTTAAAAATGGCCAAAGACCTTAACAACCACTCCACCAAAGAAGATAAACAAGCAGCAAATATGCATATGAAAAATGGTCCACCTCATATGTCATCAAGGAATTTAAAATTAAAACAACAAACTACCACTAAACAACTACTGCAACAGCCAAAACCTGGAACACTGATGACATGAAACGCTGGCAAGGATGTGGAGCAACAGGAACTCTCATTTATTGTTGGGAGAAATGAAGGCAAAGTGGTACGTTTTAGAAGACCATCTGGCAGTTTCTTACAAAACTCAACATACTCTTAGCATATGATCCAACATCTTGCGTGATATTTACTTAAGGAAGTTGAAAAATTATGTCTTCATAAAACCTGCACACAGATGTTTATAGCAACTGTATTCATAGTAGCCCAAAAGTGGAAAGAATTCAAATGCCCATTAACTGAAGGATGGATAAACAAAATGTGGTGTACCCACATAATGGAGTATTATCCCACAATCAAGAGACATGAAATATTAATGAAGTACTGATACATGCTACAACTTGGATGAAAACCTTAAAAACATTATGCTCAGTGAAAGAAGCAAGACGAGATACTATTGGATGTCACTCCTATGAAATATGCAGAATTGGCAAATCCACTGAGACAAAAATGTAGTGGCTATCAAGGGCAGGATAGGAAGAAGGTGTCTGGGGGAAACAGGAAGGGACTGCTAATGGGTCTTAGGGTTTCTTATTGGGGTGGTGAAAATTATTCTGAAACTGACTGTGGTGATGCTCAGTCAACTCTGCGGCCTGGGAGCCTTGTGACCTTAGACAAGGACTCCTCCTGAGCCAATTGCTGTCTCCATAAAATGTCAACCATATGATCATATGTCAATCACTGAGTATGGTAATACTCAAACAATTAAACCCTGAGTGTGAAAGTATCAGGCATGTAACAGGAGTCCCATACAAGCTAAAAGTATGCCAAAGTATCTTGTGACCAATACCTTCGCAAATGCCAGGTGATTTTATAATTTCACATATAAGATTATACATTATCAGAAATTATCCATTTTCAGTTTCACATAATGCTTTCCAAAGACTCACCTGAGCTCCGTGCCCCACTGTTTAAAAGAGAAGTTAATAGAATTTGGAGGCCCTGGGGTGGGCTGATTTGCAGCTTGCTCTCCTACCAGCTCCCCAGGGGCGGCTTCCACAGCTAGGACATTTCTGGCTTTTTCTGCAGAAGCATTTGAGTGCAGGTTAATTAAATCTGAAAGAAAGGCAAACAAGTGTCAGTTATTCAAACATTCCACAGGGAACTTGATATCCCACATAACACACTATCTTGACAAACTATATAAAAACTTATATATTACAGTATTTTTAAGTGTTATTTATTTTTGCTTGCGCTGGGTCTTCGTTGCTGCATGCAGGCTTTCTCTGGTTGGGGTGAGTGGAGGCTACTCTTCGTTGCAGTGCATGGGCTTCTCATTGTGGTGGCTTCTCGTTGCAGAGCACAGGCTCTACGGCGTTCGGGCTTCAGGACTGTGGTGCACGGGCTTAGCTGCTACAAGGCGTGTAGGATCTTCCCAGACCAAGGATTGAACCTGTGCCCGCTGCACTGGCAGCCAGATTCTTATACACTGTACCACCAGGGAAGTCCAATATCACAGTGTATTTTTCATGTGTACCACATAAAAATACAATCTGTAGATGGCTAGGGTGTTCTGTAAACATTTTCATCTAAAAGTTGATCCACGTTCCTCAGAGGAAGGTTGTACATGCTTCAGACCAGCAAGTGTTAACAGCAACAGCACAGGGAAAATAGCTAGAGCTCATCTCTGCTGTCTTGTAGATCAGTAAACCCAGTATAGAGCTGTGATCATGGTCCACTTACCTACACCAATAAGGGACAATTTCCAGGATAAACTGTTATGTTAAAAAAAAACTGCAGACCAGATTACACTAATGCCCTTTTCTGTAAGAGGGGAATAGAATACATACATACTTGCTAATTGCAAATACTGACACTGAAAAAATAAGTTTACACACAAAGGCCAGCAGTTCAGTAAATTCACAGGCAAATGCACTGATGCTAAAGTCTGATCAAATCTGAGACTATGTCTTAAAAATAATGTAAGCATTTGAAATATTTGAGGTTGCAATGATATGCTGCCCAGAATTTGCTTCAAGATAACAATACTTTGTTATTCAACAAATAAATGATATCACCTCAAACAACATGTTATTTGCCTCCAAATAATAAAATTAAGTGGGTAAGTATATCAATGAAACAAAATGGGCCATGAAATACTAATTGTTGAAACTACCTAATAAACATGTGGGTAATATTATGTTATTCTCTCTTTGCATATGCTTAAAATTTCCCATAATAAAAACTTACTTTTCTAAGGTTCTGATAAAATGTATCCAATAATAAATATTTTGTATTCTTCCCAACTGTATAATCTCTCTGAGAATATACATGTTTGTAAATAGAATTTAACACTTTTTCATGATAATCAAGTTGATCCATACTTTCCTGGAATAAAGCATCCCTAGACTGGTAATGTCAATCATCACTTTCAGTGGAAACAATCAGAATGGAATGCTGGACACTGATATCCAAGGAGAAATTTACTTTCTAATCAGATGAGCACACAACCTGAGTTCACTCAGGACAAGTCACTGTGAAGGTCGCTGAGCACCAACAGAGAAGGCAGAGCAGAGGAAATACTGCAGTCAGGGGTCCTTGAAAACTGATGTTCCGAATGAGAACACCTGCCGATGGGCTCACACTTTGTTGGCAGGTCACTCACTTGACTGTAAGCAGTGTGGGAAGGGCTCCGGAAACACACTGGGAAAAGAATGCTGGGTGTGACACGAAGTGACTGCTGTGTATGCATCAGGGGAACTGGGGCCTGGCCAGGAGAGTCAACACCTTGCTCATAGTAGGGTTCTGAGTACGAAAAGCAAGAATTTGTGTTGGGAGAGAGAAGGACTATGGGCTTGGCAATGGATTACCAGGTTAAGTCAAGAAGGCCAGATTCGTGGCCTGATTCCTGATTCCTGATTCAAACGACGACTGTGTATGAAGCATTAGTGCTCAGGGTACAACAAACGATGAGACAGAGTTCTTTCCCTAAAGGAGAACACATCTAGGAGAAAGACATAAAATAATAAAATGTTAAGCTCCAGGTCACCACCGAATGCACCGAGTCCCTGGTATCCAGACCTTCCTCTGAGCCTCAGGGTCCAGGAGACGCCTTGGGGATTTTCCACGGGACAGAAGGAAGGGGTCTTGCCCTCAGCTTCAACCAAAGTGGTTCCTCTTTTCACTCTTTTATATGCTGGAGTTCCCCGTGAGATTTCATTTGGGGAAAGAAAAAAAGAGTTTGAAAAAACAAACGAAGAAACACCAAGTTCAAACACCACTAACGGGGTCCAGCCTCCTCCACCTACTTCATCTGTCAGGACGTGGAAGACCAGAGTCTCTGCAGCAACAACTGCATGCGGGGCAGTGACTGTACTGGGCAGAGGCGAGCACCCGACATCTGTGAGCATGTGTCAGTAAGATGGCACATGGGCACACCTCTTCTTTAGACAAAGGTAAAGTCAACACCCAGGCTTTCCAGAGGCTGGTCTTTCACAGACCCCTCACAGGCGAAGCATCACAGCTCTAAGCCAAGCCAGGAAATAAGCACAAGGCACTGCACCTGTTTCTGTCTTGAGCCGAGTCCAGCCCCTTCTTCCTGTGTGGGTCGGCAGCAAGGTGACGCACAGGCCCTCTGCAGGGGAGACTGTCAAGGGCGCTAGCACTGCCCAGCGCCCAGGACCAGGGCGCCCAGCCCTTGCAGCAGCCCTGGGCTATGCTGGAAAAGCTTCCTGAGGAACTTGGGCCCAGGGGTGGGGTGCAGAAACAGGACTGGAGCCAGGGAGGATGTTGGCAAAACAGACCATTTCTAAAAGTCATTATCTGATGTGAAAAAGAAGCCATTTCCAGGTTTTAGCTACTATTGTTTGTCTGGTTTGGGGTTTTTAAAAGACCACGTGGAGGTTTCCTTAATTAAAAGGGGAGCTGCTGGCTTCTCCTCAATACATGTACCAACATTAGCATTCAGGGGACCGCTTCAAGGACACAAACTAGGACAGGACAGTATTTCCTTGAAGCCTCAAGAGGATGGACTGGGTTCACAAACATGTGCTTTACCATGCAGCTACAGTGGGGAAAAGAGTCTGTGCTTGAAGAGTTTTGATGTTTAGATCTTTGTTATTTTTGAAAATTTTCAAATGCCTAAATGACACTTCTGAGCGAGTTTTGGACTACAAATTTTACCTTCCTGTGTTCTGATTCCAGCAGAGCCTCTATCATCCCAGGGTGGCCATTCCCAGATCTCCAGGAGTCTTTCTCACTGCGCAGTCTAACACCAGGGGCCCCAGGGGCCCTATACAGGGGAGGCTCCTGCTCACATCTGGTCATCTCCGTGAGTCTTCCCCTCCTCTCCTGCTCCTAGCCCCCCGCCAGCAACCCTGAAGAGGGCAGAACAGAGAGCCAAGATGCAGCACCATCCAAGAAATGAGGAAAGAGCACTGGGGAAAGGCATTCCCATGTCAAGGTTACTGTAAGAGAGAGCCTGTGGGTCCCCACTGGAAGCTGGAGGAGGCCACTCAGAGTGGGGTTAACCTGAAAAAGCTTTTTTTCCCCTTTATCAAAGTGAATTTAACCCAGCTTGTGAAGGAGTGGCTGGAAGCACCACAGTTACCTTCCAAGTGAGGGTGCAGTGTGCATCTACCCCAAAAGGAAGTAGAGGCAGCAAGCCCCCGGGTCTCAGAGGCCCCAGGGTGGACCAGCCCACATATCTGGTTAATGACTTGTCCATCCGCTCTCTCCCAAGCCTCGCCAAGGATGTAAATCTTGTGAGAATCGGACCCCTATCTGATGTGCTGATGGCCACATACCCCACAGCAGACACAGAGGGGGGACTCGATAAACATTGGTAAACGGCTGAAGGAAGAAATGAAGGACGACTGCCGTGGTGCGGAGGAAGGGCCTGCTGTGGGCTGAGGACGTTGGGCAGGAGGCAGCGGGCCCTGCCGTTCTCTAAGAATCTATGCTCACCATCCCTCCCAGCTCCCCGTCTCCTGCCACCTCGCCCCTGAGAGACCCCCTGAATGATGGGTGGGGGAGCACACCCCAACCCAGGGCTTCTCTCTCTTGCCTTCTCACGCCTCCATGCACTCCTGCGTCATGCTCAGGGCCCCCATCCACCCCCCACATTCACTGCACCCCATCCCACCCAAAGCTGGGCTTGGCCCGTCTCCACAAACACCACAGTCCAGCCCACCGTGGACAGTCTCCTGCAAATCTTCTTCAGGAGGCTCCCACAGGCTCCCCCAGAGATACAGCTGGAATCTAACCCTGCTCATCATCTCCCTCCCTGTCACAGCCTGGCGTCAGGAATCACAGAAACTTCAATCCAGAAGGAAACTCAGGGAGCATCTTGTTTCCAGGTGGGGAAACGGTGTGTGCCCGAGGTTCCACGCACTTTCTGCACTAGATCAGGCTGCCTCTCAGCCTCAAGGTTGATAATCACCATGACTTACACATCACAACAACACCTGGCATTCTGTGGAATTTTACAAACAGGATTATATAAAGCACAGCTTCTTTGATGACTTTGGGGAACTGGGACATTAAATGACTTGGTAGAATTCCTGTGGCTTTGCCAATGTGGGATCTGCATCCCACCCTACGGTTTCCCTCCTTCCAGTCCCAGCACGTGCACAGAGCGCCCAGCACATGCTGGGGAAGGACTGGACCCAGCGGCTACTTCCCTTCCCCTCCCCCTGCTCCCACACAAGCCGCCGGCACCACGGCAGTTACTCTCGCAGCTGTTTCAGAGGAGGAAATGTGCGGTCATCCCTCAAACCGTCTTCACCGTACCATTTTCTGTGAGAAATACCCCTGAACTCAAACAGGCACTTGGGCACTGAAGCCTCCTGTGATCCTACAGGCTTCTGTACTCCGGAACTCTCAAGAAGTCTTAAAATACAAAGTCCTGTTTTCCCTTGCTTGTTCGCCTATTCGTTTAGATGGGAAATGGAGTATACAGAACGTGCAGCACATCCATCTTGTAATTGGGTTCTGGCTACCTCTTTCCCAACAGCTCTGAAGGTCGGCAGATTCTTGATTTTATCTTTGCAAATTACTCCTTTGTGTTGAAACTAGGTCTTTATCTATCCAAACATGGAAGACATACAGAGAGGCAT